AGAAATTAACAAACAACAAATTTCTGTATATTCAATGTCTATTATTTTAAATAGTCAGTATAAATCTTTTATATTCATGACACAGCAGAAAGCACTGGTCCTAGAATCAGAGAACCGAGGATCAAATCCTGTATCTGACACTTGGTAAGTACTTAATCTTTTTTTTTTTTGGGGAGGTGAGGCAATTGGGGTTAAGTGACTTGCCCAGGGTATCACAACTAGTAAGTGTCAAATGTCTGAGGTCAGATTTGAACTCAGGTCCTCCTGACTCCAAGGCCAGAGCTTCCACCTAGCTGCCCCAGTACTTATTTAATCTTAAACAAGTCACTTAATGTCTCCAGTCTTGTTTCCTCATCTGGAAAAACCAGAGATTTGGACTAGAGGGTATCTGTGGTCCCATTCAGCAATAGGTCTATGATTCTATTTGAATAGTGAAGATACATTACAAAAATAAATGAATTAATAAAATAAATAAAACTATATTAAAAAAACTTCAATGGTAAGGTTTTAATAGACAAAACTACACGAAGTAGAAACAAGACAGCACTGGAGGTGACCAAACATCATTTGTCTCCCTTCTATTTTTCTACTTGATATGAAATAAAGATGAAAGGAAAGAGCTATCAGCCATTTCTCTAGAATGACAGGGTCATCAAGGGAAATTTTGAATAAAATAAGCCTGCATCATATTATGATTGAAGCATGTAATCAAAGGCAATGCACTGGTTGTAAATAATAGGGCTTTTATATAATGCTCTGGAAAATGTTATCTCCACATTTGTACTCACTTCCAGCTACTCCTTTACAAAATGTGTTTCCCTGATCAGAATGACAGCTGAAGTACAGGAAAACTTCTTTTGTTCACAAGCTAAAGAAAGGAATCTTTATCAAATCTGCAGCCACATAGGCAAAAGATTTTATATTTTTAGTGCTGTTTAATTATAACAGAAATGCACAGAAACCATGCTTTCTATCCAGGGAGACTGCTGTGTGTGCATTATGCCCCATTCAGAGGTTGAGGCTCCAAGTTCTCATGTCATACGAGGTCTGAAATTAGCACTTTACTAACTAGGAGGCATTTTTCCAAATCTTGATGGACTGGGCAAGAAGATTGCTCCAGGGGGAGGAGACAGGGATTTTAAAAGAAGAAAACCTCTCTTCCTGACAGCACATGCTGTGCCAAACCAGTAGTTGGCATTACCAGGGCTTTCCTCTGGGGAATCTCACTGGAATGGCTGAATTTGACTGGGGAGTATATTACAATTAAGGAAGGGAAAGCAACAAACGAGTTAAGGGAGCAAGCCTGGGTTTCAGCACATTCCTCCTTGGTGACTTAATTCATTTTCCAAACAATGTCACATGGAGAATTGATGAGCTAGAGAATGTGATAGGCATTAGCCCCAAGTGTGGCATTGTTCAGATGCAAAACAGCCAAAATATTGGAAACCAAGCACTTTAGTACACGTGGCCCAATATTGCTTTAATAAGCCATTAAACTGTCGCTTAGATATAGCTGAGTAAAATGCCTTAGACTAAACTAATAGTTCTAACTATTGAAGCTTTGATTTCACAACCTTGCATTAATCTTAAAAGAAGGCCTTTTGAGACCAGAACTGCTTTTCATATTTGCAATTTCAGTTTAGATAGTTTCATATGTTATACCATTTTCTTTCTTTCTTTCTCTCCTCCTTCTCCCTCTCCCTCTCCCTCTCCGTTTCTCCTAACATTGAAATACAAATGTTGGTATAATGTAATTAAGCGAAGAACTTTGCATCTGGCTGCAGGAACTTACATTCAAATACCAGTCCTGCCCCTTACAACTTGCTTGATGTTGGGCATTTTAGGCAATATTTAAGTCCCCTTTGTACCCTAAACCCCATGATCCCGTGAATTGGGAAAGTGAATATCAAGTACAGTTTCTTTGCAAGGAAGGTGACATCTTTGTGGTCGTTTAACAAAACCCATTCCTCTTCAGGTTGCACTCCGGACTTTCTCTGACATACCTCAGAAACCTTTTCTTCCTAGAAACTCACTCCAGCCCTGGAACTAACACTTTGGAAGTATCTTCTTCCTGTGTGGCCTTTTGCTCTGATTGGATGAACTTCCTTCGAAAGACAATACCCCAGACAAGCCATGTCTTCCTCTTCTCTGAGCTGTATTCCAGACTTCTTCAAGGCAGGGACTGTTTTTCTTTATTCTTGTATGTGTATTCCCAGGGCTTAGCACAGTCCCTGATCCATAGAAAACATTTACTAAATGCCTGTTGGCTGAATGTCAAAACATATAGAACTGATGTATTTCCAACAGTGGGCAGCTAGGTGGCACAGTGAATATCAGTGCTGGGCTTAGAGTCAGGGAGACTCATCTTTTTGAGTTCAAATCTAGCCTCAGACACTTACTTGCTGTGTGACCTTGGGCAAGTCACTTAACCCTGTTTGCCTCAGTTTCTTTATCTGTAAAATGAGCTGCAGAAGGAAATGGCAAACCATTCTAGTATCTTTACCAAGAAAACCCCAAATGGATCACGAAGACATGAACACAACTGAAAAGGCCTGAACCACAAAAAAAAAAAATATTTCCAAATTTCCCTATTATTGTTGGCACTTGTAGCTGGGTGCCATAGCCAAGATTATCATTTTGCAGCCATTCAAGTTTTTCTTTTTAGCAATATTAATTGCATAGAGTTTTATACATACATACATATATATATATATATATATATATATATATATATATATATATATATATACACACATACATATATGTATAGACTATATGGTGATCTGTATTAATCAAAACCAAAACACAAATTAAGAGTCACACAATTCTTGAACCAGTTATTTTTGCCATCTTTTGCTGAAATACTACCCCAATACTTCACTGTGGCATGTGGAAGTGACCTTATATGCTTAAAATTGTCTTATTTTTTATTGATACCTTTTATATACCACATTCACTTTTGAATATATTCCTCTTCTTCCTCTTTGTTACTTCTTGCAGCAAACAGTAACAGTAGCAACAAAAGATTTACAAAAAAAAAAGTAGTTCAACAAAGCTAGGCAACTCATAACATGTTTGACAACATAAAGACAAAGGTCTATATCTATATTTCCCCACCTCTGCAGTGCAGGAAGGGAGGTACATTTTCTCAGTTTTCCTTTGGGTCCAAGTTTTGGACTGACTCTTGAAGGTTATTTCAATGGATTAAAAGTTTTGCTAGGTCCTATAAAGTAAGAAAGTTTTAAAGTATGATCCCAGTACCTTCTACCCCCTTTTCCCATCTCCTTCCTTTTATTGTTGTCTTCCCCATCTGAATGTAAGCTTCTCAAGGGTTTTTCTTATTGCTTGTATTTGTATTTCCAGCCCTTAGCATAGTGCCTGGCACATAGTACATACTTAATAAATTCTTGTTGACTAACTGACTGTGGACAGTCTGGACATTATCTGAAAATTGATTCATCTAGCTAAATTTTGGAGAGGTGAATTCCCAAGAGGTTGGTCATGAGGTGATGAATTGTTTTGGCCACAGTAATTAATCCAGACAATATGCTGGTCTCCATTGATAGAGGGTATACTTACACTGATAAAATTCCGTATCTTTGAGGTTCTTCTCTCCGCTTTTGCACCCTTCTCCTCATCCCAATCCAGTACAAAGTTTCTTGATAGGGATTGTTTCATATCTTTGTACTCCAGTACTTAGCACCATTTTGTTTTGTTTTTGTTGTTACAAAGTAGATGTTTGATAAATGTTAATTGAATTTAGGAAAGTGTCTGTCCACATGGAATATGGTATCTGCCTTTGAACAATGTAGAAATGCTATAGTGGATGGGGGCAGCTAGATGGCACAGTGGATAGAGCACCAGCCCTGGATTCAGGAGGACCTGAGTTCAAATCCAGCCTCAGACCAAAAACTTGTCACTAACTGTGTGACCCTGGGCAAGTCACTTAACCCCATTGCCTAAAAAAAAAAACCCAAAAAATGCTGTAGTGGAGTTTTAGACCCGAATGGTCTCCTTTAGCCATTTAGGAAGGGGATAATGATCAGACCTTCCATTTCGTTGGTATAAGGAGCTCCTAGGTAAGGAAACTTCTTTGACCAATACGGGCCTGGGATGCTTCTCTTTGTAGCACACAGTCTTAGGGTAGTTCCTAGAGCACTTAGAGGTTTAGTGATTGCATAGGGTCATTAAGCCAGGAAGTCTCAGAGGTAAGACTTGAACCCAAGTTGAGGTCAGCTCTATATCCACAAGGCCATGTTGCATTTCATTTGAATATTTTCCTTGATCAAATTACCCCTAAAATGGCCACGTCTCTAGTTCAGTTTGTGCTGTGCAGTCATGGATAAAGTGAAGTACATTTGCAAACTGAAAGAAAATCCTGTTGTTTAGAGTAAAGTGTTAAGTAGAGAAACAGCCATGTCCTAAAGCAGGGGCTCTAAAACTTTTTATGTCATGGACCCGTTCGGCAGGCTGGTGAATCCTATTGACTCCTTCTCAGAACAATGTTTTTTGTTTTTTCAAATCACAATTGACAGAAATGCTAAAATTCAGTTAAAGGTTTGTGAAAATAAAGATGTATTATTTTTCCTCTTCCAGGTTTATGGGTCCCCAGTTTTTTTGGTTGTTTTCAGTTCTGTCCAACTCTTCATGACCCAATTTGGGGTTTTCTTGGTAAATATACTTGAGTGGTTTGCTATTTCCTTCTCCAGTTCATTGTACAGATGAGGACACTGAGGCAAACAGGGAGAAGTGACCTGCCCAGGGTCACACAATCATTAAGTGTCTCAGGCTGGATTTGAACTCAGGTCTTCCTGACTCCACATCCAGTGCTCTATTCAATGAGCCGTCCCAGTTTAAGAACCCCGATATAGTGGTTTCATAAAAAAAATTATGTTCATTCACAAATTAAAACATAATCTGAAGTTTTACCAGAGATGGCAAAGAATGGAATGACAGGGAGACAATGATAACATTAAGAGCATTTTTTCCCTTGCACTTACGATTTACAGGTTTTGTTGGTAATATTGGGTTGAACCTCTCTGGGGAGGCAGCATTCTCCTCATCAGTCACATATTCAAAATTGATGATGAACATCATAGCCACTCCCTCTTGGTTTTTTACTGGAATTATGTGAGTGTTACAAATGAAGGTTGACCCTAAGGAGAAGAAAAGACAGTTTTTAAACCCCTAAATATACAGAATTTCAAGATCATAAGAAATCTCTATGGATTTTTCTCTCGAGATACAAAAAAAATATTGCATGCTGTGTTCAATTTACCATTAATCTGAATTTCATTTTAAGCATACTACACAAATGTATATCTGGAAAACACAGATTTTTGGGGGAAGTATTGTGTGGACAAATGTGTCATCATATCATGTAGGTAATGAATATCAAATTCACTTGCCATCTCTCTTACTATTAAAAATTCATTTCCCCCATGAAAGTAGCTAGCACTTGTATAGCATTTTAGGATTTGAGAAACTCTTTACAAATATTATCCCAATTATCTTCACAACAACCCTGGGTGGTAGGTCCTATTATTATCATCACTATTTTATAGAGAAGGAAACTGAAGCTGGGAGAGGTTAAAATAACTTGCACAAAAGTGTCTGAGAGGGGATTCCAATTTAATTCCAGTGTTCTATCTACTATGCCACCTAACTTACCCTTTTCCCTTAAAACAAAAGGATTCTAAGCATTTAAAATGTCTTTTTAAACATTAATCTAATATACACATTTATAAAACCCAATTTCTTTCTTTTTTTCTTTTAATTAATTTTTAGTTTTCAATATTAACTTCCATAAGCTTTTTAGTTTTACATTTTTTTCTGCCTTTCTCCTCTCTCCTCCCCAAGACAGCATGCAATCTGATATAGGCTCTACATATACACTCCTATTAAACATATTTTCACATTAGTCATGTTGTAAGGAGGAGTTAGAACCAATAGGAGGAACCACAAGAAAGAGGAAACAAAACAGAAGAAAAAAAAAGAGCAAATAGTATACTTCCATTCGTATTCAAACTCCACAGTGCTTTTTCTGGATGTGAATGGTATTTTTCATCATGAGTCTTTTGGAGTTGTCTTAGATGGCCGAGAAGAGCTAAGTCTATCAAAGTTAGTCATCACAAAATGTGGCTGTTACTGTGTATAAATGTTCTCCTTCTGCTCACTTCACTCAACGTGAGTTCATATAAATCTTTCCAGGTTTTTCTGAAGTCTGCCTGCTCATCATTTCTTATAGTACAATAGTATTCCATTACATTCATATACCACAACTTCTTCAGCCATTCCCCAGTTGATGAGCATCCCCTCAGTTTCCAATTGTTGGCCACCACAAAAGAGCTGCTATAAATATTTTTGTACCTGTGGGTATTTTTCCCATTTTTATGATCCCTTTGGGATACAGCCCTAGAAATTGTATTGCTGGGTCAAAGGGCATGCACATTTTTATAGCCCTTTGTGCATAGTTCCAAATTGCTCTCTAGAATGGTTGGATCAGTTCACAACTCCACCAGCAATGCATTAGTGTTCTAATTTTCCCACATCTTCTCCAGCATTCATCATTTTCCTGTTTGTTGGCCATGTCATGTTAGCTAATCTGATAGGTGTGATGTGGTACCTAAGAGTTGTTTTAATTTGCATTTCTCTAATCATAGTGATTTAGAACATTTTTTCATATGATCATGGAGAGCTTTAATTTCTTCCTCTAAAACTGCTTATTCATATCCTCTGACCATTTATCAGTAGAGGAATAAAACCCAATTTCTTGTAGGTAAAATTTTAAGGAGGGACATTCCAAGAGCCAGAATTATCCCAAAGTAGAATGGGCTACCTTGGAAAGTAATGAGCTCCCCATGAAGGGGGCTATCTAAGCAAAGACTGGATGACAATTTGTTGGTTTTGATGTAGAGGATGTGTTGTCTAAGAGGGCTATGGAGGTCCCTTCCAACTCTGAAATTCTGTAGTTACTCATTTGGCTCATTTACTTAATTATGTTTGGATTTAGTGCCAATTTATGATCACGATTAATAGCTTACCCTTATGTGTCACCTTAACAGATTGCAAAATGTTTGAACACTTTACTCTTACAACGCTTCTAAGCAGAAGTATCATCACCCCCATTTTGCAGATGAAATGGATCTGGGAGCTCACACAACTACTAAAGGACAAAGCAAAGACTTGATAGATAAACTGCTACTCAAAGGCTACCCAGCAAACCCACCTCATCCCCTTCACCTGTTGAAAGTTAATAATGAATCAAAAGTTTTAATATGCTATCTCAATTCTTTCCCAATTATTTTTTTTCCTGGCTCTAATGTAGCCTGCTAAAGTCACATCATCTAAACTATGGGGATTGGGAGGTGGGAAAAGAATCCTTTATTAAATTAGAGGACTATATTAAATTGTTGATTACATTGACTGTTAATTTAAAAATAAAGATGCTAATTTGATTTCTTCAATCAACAAGATAACCTTCTGACAGAAGCTTTACACAACAACATAATTGGGAAAACAAAACAATATTTTTATCCTCATTACCTAGTACTGATTTAATTTTCAGCCAGTCCTTTCCATACAAATGGGCACTTCCACCACTGCCTCAGACCAATCTACTGAAAGAACCCTCTATTAATGTCATGGTAGCCATTCCAGAAAAAGTGGGAAGATACAGGAAATCTTTGGGGTTGAAAATGGGAGGAGAGAAGTAGCTTTGAAACACTTGACTGCCTTAGGGAATCTGACTCCTAGGGAAGGACTTATATGATTATCATCCTCACCCCTAAAAAAATCCTCTTCCTTGAGGTGACAGGTTTTTTTGGTCACTTTCCTGTACTGCCTGAAAATTCAAACAATGAAAGATTCATTTGGGTTAACAAATACCCTTTTTAAAAAATGCAGATTGCCTTAGGAGGGTTATGGTGCTATCCATATATTATTATGCAGTAGTTCAAACAAATCACGTCCCTCCTAACTCTAGCAGAGATCTGTTGTACTAAACGTTTATGGGAGTTTTGACTGAGGGGAAAAGAGATGTATGCGATGCTCCAGTAAGAGCCTGAAAGATAATATGAGGGTACTTGGGTGCTTAAGAACTTGGGGAGAAGGGCACTAGGGGGTGTAAGAGGAGCACAAAAATGATGTGAGAGAATAGCAAAGATAAGTTTGATTTATTTAAAAATTTTTCCTGGGGAGATCAAGCTCACAAGACTGAGGAAACTCTAGCTCCTCTTTCCAGGACCCCAGATCACAGAATCTCATTGTCAGAATAAAGAGAGTGTAGGATGTATTTGGCTTGATCCATGGGCAACACCTCACTTTACTTTCTTTTCCTTTCTTCCAACTCACATAATGGAACAGACTATGACAAAGGCCCCTCAAATAAAGCTAACATCATTTTGCTTTGGCTTCTTGGAGGAAATCATAAGATAATTTAAATGCAGTGCTTTGAAAATATTAAAGTGTGCCATAAATGTTAATTATTATAGTCTTATTTAGTCACGTTCTAAAACTCCTTGGCCTTCCTAGTTGCCCTGTATCTCTAATACACAGTTGTCATTTTAGCTAGGAAATCCATGTGTGCTTTGGACAATATAAACTGAGTCAGGTTAGTATTACTGGTTTTATGCTTCATCTCCATCAACAAAGCTGGATTTTGTGAGCTAACCTAGAAACCTAGCCCTCATTGATAACATTGTCTCTATGAGAAAATGTGTTCTGCATTACAAGTAACTGGTTTAATAATGAACTTTTGGAATGCAGCCTCTGAACAACTTGAAGATTGCTGTCAATTGAAATTTAGACAGTCAAATACCAGAGCCTCCAAAATTCAAAATGTAGAGAACTTCCTTTATAACTAATTTCATATTTTCCATAAATGTGAATATGGTATTTATGGAAGGTAATGCTATATGTATTAAAAATGACATGCTACACCTTCAAGTTTTCCAGCTGTATCTTCAATCCACTTAATAAAACAGTTAGCTATGGCACTTGTCATAGTTTCCATGGTAACAAATTGGATGACTTTAGTAAACAGAAAATAAGCAATTTAAGACTGTTCCATTAGAGCTAAAAATAGAAATGCTTCAGGCCAAGCATTGCTACACAGTCTGGTTAAACAGAGGGTCTGAGGAGATGCTAGAAATAGCCATTATGTACTTGGCTAATGAACCAAAATATATATATATATATATATTGATTTTTTACCTCCTAAAATGACATTTCTTGGATAATTTAGGAGAGCATTATGAATTCACATGTGTTATCGAGTGGTTTTAGTGTTTTCAACATGTGGGGTGCACCGCTGACTATACATGAAAACACTAAATAATAGCGTTAAGAGGGCAGGCCTAGATAAAACTGTGCCCCCACACCCCATGACATTTTTAATGGAATTAGAATGTAAGAAGATGTAGTAGCTAGAAGTTCTTCCCCTGCCCCCAGATTACAGGAAGTAATCACAGAATTTCAGAGTTAAAAGCAATTTCAAAGGTTATCTACTCCCACTCATACCTTGCTATAACATTCTCATTTTGATATCATTCAGCCTTTGCTGAGAGACCTCTACAGATATGGGGCTCACTACCTTCTCTGATAACCATTCTACTTTTGAAGGGCTCTTAATTGTTAAGGAAGTTTTGCTTACATTGTGCCTAAATCTGTATATCTGCAGCTTTGATTCATTAGTCCTCGTGGCTGTCTGGATCTAAACAGAACCAATCTCAAACTTTCCCCACATGATTGCTCTTCAGATACTTGATGGTGGACATTTAGTTCCAACCCTATTTACTCTTCTACTCTCCCTCATCTCTTTTGCCAATTCTTTTCTCTGGGCTAAATATACAGACTTAACTAGCCTATAAAATACAATCTACACTCTGAAAAACTGGAGAAAAAAGTTGTCTGCAGCACTAATATTAGTAGATCGTTTAGCAGTACTAAAGTCATAGGGTCATAGAAATACAGAGCTTGAAGGGACCTTAGAGATTGTCTAATTCGGGGGTGGGGAACCTGTGGCTTTGAAACCACATGTAGTCCTCTAGATCGTCTAGTGAGGCCCTTTGACCAAATCCAAACTTCACAGAACAAATCTCTCTAATAAAAGGATTTGTTCTGTAAAACTTGGACTCAGTCAAAAGGCCATACCTGA